CTGTAAATACGAGCAACAGAAATATCCCAATTTCAGACCAACAACTTCTTGAACCTCTAAATAATTGTTGCATGTTGATGATAAGATATGCCGCATTCATAAGTAGCGCAATTGTGCATTGTGAGTCAAGCTCAAAACAAATCCGTTGATGGCTGATTGACCCACTCAATGGAGGACTTCCACACTGTGCGTTTTAGTTATGTTCGACTGAAAGACCAAAGAGAATGCTGCCAAGATAGGCCGGCCCCGTATGATCTCGAATCAGGATTCTTGTAATACAAATCCTTGAATCCGATAGGAAGGTACCATCTGAATTGAGAGTGACCCGCTTCGAAGGTGACAGCTTTTAAGAGATCTCAATCTCCGACCTAGTAAGCGGAATGGGAGTGAACTAGCTTGTCCTTGCCCTTGTCCATGACAAGCCTCACTCCAACTATTGATGCTAGGACGCTCTGAATGAATGCTCCGGTCAATACAACTATTCATACGATTTTGTCTTCGATTTTCGATTTGGATATCAGCCCATCGGTTTAGGATAGGGATGGCAATTTTGCCCATACCCATGGGTATTTTACTATCCAACCCAATTGTGGTTGGGTATGAAATCCAAATATATGGATATGGGTAAAGTTTGATGGGTTTTGTACCATACCCATTTACTTTGGGTTGGATTTGGGTTTGTACACATGCCCAAATACAAATTACAGTTTGGTACCTAAACTTAATAGATATGCATATTTAGTACCTAAATTTAATTTTTTTTGCATATAAGTCCTCAAAATATCGATGGAAAATTACGTTTTGGTACCTAAATTTTTTTGGTCTTACATTTTGGTACCTAAAATTTTCAAGTTTTTACAAATAAGTCCAATTTTTGCATGTGTAGTTAAAACACTCTCAAGTAAATGGATATCCATATCCAACCCATATCCATTTAGATAATATCCATATCTAACCCAAACCCATTCACACATCACCCAAACCCTACCCATAATAAATGAGTCTACTTGGGTTTGGGCAAAATTACCCATGGATGGGTAAATTGCCATCCCTAGTTTAGGATTGTGGCCTCCAATTAACCAAAACCATATAGCTCGAATTAACTAGGGAATGGGTTAATAGGAGGGATGAATGATATGGCCGGTGAACAGAGAAACAAAGAGGAACAGGTTCATCAAGTGTGGATTGGATTTGGGTTTAATCCGCACGTGAATTTCGAGGGTTTTTTAATTTTTTTTTTTTTTTTGTGGGTTTAAAGAGGGACCAACATCCAATGGTTTGTATCCAACAAATACCAAAGTCAAAGTGGGAGGTTTGAACACAAAACAAAACCAAAATAGGAACGAAAATGAAGCTGACTACTTTGGTATATATCTCATCTTTCAACAACTATCAACAATGGATCAAACATATCACGATCATCGATGTCCATTATTCGAACTTGATCCGATTATATAAATACAATATTGTACTAAATAAATTGTTCATGGATATAAATAGAACTTGAAATTAAATAATAATAAAAACATGATTTTCTTACTATCTAATTTAAACTCACGCGATTAAACAAGCTCATATACTTTCTTTTATATCATCTTTTTGTTTTCTCTCTTTATGTTATTTATTGGTAGTGCTTATATAATATCTCCATGCATTAGTGCTCTTTTAATTATTTCTCTTAGTATTGCTACCATAGTTGAACTTTTTTTCCTATTGTAATATGAATACATTTGTCATTGATACCGCATTAGTTGAGATGATGAAGGGAAAAAATTCATTATCTTTCAATAACCATGGATACCTGAAATCCGATTAGGGGGTAGGCACAATTTTTGTGATATAGAAATTCGGAATATCTTCCAACAACTCGAGTTGTTGAGAGAACAACTGATTTTTATATGATATTAGTGTCTTCGATTGAAAAGTCATTAGCTAGAATTATAATAATCTTCAATATTAATGTTTAGTACGATGGTATAATAAACTTGTGCAAACTTTCAAATTATGGGAGGAACGAACGAGTGAACATTATATTAAAAAAATATTCTTAAACCATGATCAAGAAACTTAAATATCGAAATCGAGTAGCTAGTTCACGATACTAACTAGCAAAAATTCGGTATTACACGTCCGCATCCCATATCCGATCAAAATAGAAAGAAAGTGGCAACATTGACCTAAGATTAACGTAGCCTCATTGTCTATTTCTTTTTCTTCAACCTAATAGTAACAATTATTCATACACATTAGCTCTACGGTTATACCTAATTAGTTTCTCGGTCTATTTCCCCTCAATCCCATCAAAACCCCCAAAAATTTGGTGACATTTACAATTTGATCAATCATGCAGAAGACACTCCTTAACGAAGGTTTGCTGGCTTGAATGGTGGAATTAAGCTTTTTGTAATTTTTATGAAGGGCAAATTCAGTGAACCATTTTTAGGTTTTGTGGGCAACAAATTCAGTGCACCTAGCTAGTTAAATACCCTTTCTTGGGATGGAAATATGATATATTTGGCAATGATTGGACGGTGGAAAAAAATTAGAATTAGAATTAGAAATAGAAATAAATATATCATTTCCATTCCTTAGTCCACAAATGTAGCTGTCTTTTGACCTCTATCTATATCTCTACCTGGCCCACTAGTCATGTCGACTGGACTTTTGACAGATCTGAAGCCCAAACGATCATTGGCCCCTTAGACATTGATGGGCTTCTATCAGGGTCCATCAGTTTATCTATCCATCTGCTTCCATGGTGTTTTCTTTCTGAAATTAAATTATGCTTCAATATTCTTAAGTAGGGTTACAAAGAACAAGCAAAAAATACATTAAGAATAAGTAACCATATCAACTTGCTACTGATAAAATTACTGAATCGCTATTTGCCGCCCGTCGTATTACTATTTGCCGCCCATAATTAGGAAAGAAAAGACTAATTTACCCCTGCCCCCTAACCCTATCTATCCACCTCCTCCCCCCTCCCACCCACCCCCACCCCTACCCCCACTGCTCCTCCCCCCTCCCACCCACTCCTCCCCCCTCCCACCCACCCCCACTGCTCTGCTGACCATCCTCCCACCTCACCGACGCCGGCGACAGTCCCCCCACCCTCCCACCTCACCGACGCCGGCGACCACCCTCCCAGTCCTCTGCTCGCCGGACCTGCTCCTCCTCTGCTCACCGACGTCGGCGACCATCCTCCACTCCTCTGCTCGCTGACGCCGCCGGACCTCCTCCTCCTCTGCTCGACGCCACCGCCCAGGAGAAGAAGCTCGCCAGGAGAAGCCACGGCGCCGCTGCTCAAGTCGTCGGCGAGGAGGTAAATTTTTTTTTTTAATACAGTAAGCTCGCCGTCCGCCTGGCCGGAGCGGACGCGGTCCGCCTGGCCGGAGCGGACCCCGTCCGCCCGGTCTGGTCGGACCCCTTCCGCCCGGTCTGGTCGGACCCCGTCCGCCCGGTCTGGTCGGACCCCGTCCGCCCGGTCTGGTCGGACCGATCTGATTGGGTTTCGGGTTCGATTTAAATTAATATTTAATGTATTAATTTTAAATACAATTGTTAGTATCTTAATTATTTTAGTATTGATAGTGAATAATTAGTATATAATTGATAATTATATAATGTGCTAGTTTATTAATTGGGTAAGTTGAAATAATTATTTAAATAACTATATATTGTAAAGTAACTATCTAGTTAAATTAATTAGATAATCAAGTTGTATATATCATAATTAATAATTGATAAATTATGAATATGAACAAATTGCTAATCAAATAATTTATTATAAGAGATTAATAGATAATTATGGACTATGCTAATAGATCATTTATTATAATAAATATGTAAAGAATTATTGGATTAAATAAATTGTTAATTTTAAATAATTATCTATGATGTTTTAGTTAAGTAATTGAGTAAGTTGAAATAAATATTTAAATAACTACCTATCGTATTAAGTAAAATAACTATCTAGTTAAATTAAGTAAAATCAAACGAAATAAATTGCATGTATCATAATTACTCTATAAAACAACAAGTAATTGCTCAACAAATAATTTCCAATAAGATATTAATAGAAAATTATTGTCTATATTTAGAGATGGCGTCATCTGGTAATTCTGGAGGATCACGTAGTTCTGGAGGACCAGGAAAGAGATTGAAAAGATTCATTGGGCGTAACATTAGCGCTAGTGTGAGAAATAAGAACGGAAATGATAGAGATGAGCCACAGCCTCAGCCACAGCCACAGCCTCAGCCACAGCCACAGCCACAGGTGACACCGATGAGATATAGGGCAGACGGTTTCCCTGAGTTTGATTTTCGGATGCCTAGTATGGGTGGTAGTGGAGCTGGTCCCAGTATTGATCATCATACTTCACCGTTTGAGCCTTCAGACGAGATTGATGACGAGTCGGAGGAGTATGAGTCGGATGCTGTTGAGACACGTATTCCACGAGTCAGTCCGATCAGAGACAGAGGTGCCCCCAGCGTTGCGTCACCTGTCGTTACTGGGGTTCATGCTGTTACTGGGATCTATAGAGACCATGCGGGGCGTTTCTATAGAGCTCCACAGCCTGGTGAGGGCCAGAGTTCTACTGCTGATGTAGGAGAGGCCTGGGAGCCTAGAGGACCGTGTCCTGGAGGGCCGAGCGACCCGAGTTTGCTCTGTAGCTTTCTTGGGCATGTTGCCCACCGTCTGTACACGGGAGAGGCTGATAGAGGGGTGATCACTTGCTACGACAGGGAGTGCGACCCTTTGTCACGTTCTCGGCGGTTATCAGATAGCAGATGATAACGCTAGGACTACCGTAGAGACATCGGGCCTTGCTCACCTCGTTGATATCACCTTCCAGAGCGAGTTGGACCCTGCTCTCATCTCGGCATTTGTGGAGAGGTGGCAGCCGGATACTAACACCTTCCACATGCCGTTTGGAGAGATGACGATCCTCCTTCACGACGTGGCACACATTCTTGGGCTTGCGGTTGACGGAGAGGCGATGGTAGTGGATCTGAGGCAGTTGGAGAAGTTTGCACTGGAGGCTGACATCCGAGCACTACTGGGATTAGATCGTGACGAGGATGAGTACGGGGCGCAGGTTGGCGAGGTTGCTAGTCTGTCTAGGTGGTACAGAGGATTTGGTTTGTCGGGTGTGGGAGCTTTGACTCATTTGCAGCAGTCTGGTCCGCCAGCTAGAGAGGCTCAGTGCTACCTTCTTTTGCTGCTTGGGTCCACACTGTTCGTAGATAAGAGTAAGGACCGCGTTTCTGCTGTTGTGAACTTGTTTGTGAAGAGGCCGGATATGCTAGGAGAGTATGCGTGGGGGGCTGGAGCACTTGCTTATCTGTACAGGCAGCTTGGTATTGCCTCCCGGGCGGAGGCTAAGGGAGTGTCGGGTTGTCTGACTTTACTACAGTGTTGGATTTACGACCACTTTCCTACTTTGAGGCCTACTCGGTTGGAGCCACGAGAGCTGGAGCGGGGGCAGGCAGGAGCATTCAGGTGGCGCGGTACATCACCCCGGTCGAGTAAGAGGAGGGATGCACAGATGCTGGCTTATTATCGGCAGGCGATTGATAGTTTGACCCCTCAGTCAGTTAGTTGGACTCCGTATGGTCGTAGTCCTCATCTGACGGTGAGACGTACCTTGTATCAGGGCCTGCTCAGATTTGCAGAGATAGCAGAATATTATGATCCCACTAGGTGCCTCCGACAGTTAGGCTACGTGCAGGGAGTACCGTATCCACCGGAGCGTCCGCTTGTTGTGCGTCGACCTGCTTCCACGCTTGGATACTCTCTTAGCTACCATTCTGTCTATGATTCGTATTGGAACAACTTGGGGGCGCATAGTGTGCATCTGGACGTTTTTTTCTACTCCGATACGACGTAGGCCATGGGAGTTTGCTGAGAATTACATGTCGTGGTACATTAGGCACTCGCACCCACATATACTGAGTGACAGCCGACCTGTTGAGGACATCTCGGATGCTGATACGGTTAGTACAATTATATTTTAAATTATTTGTATTAAATTATTTGTAACTAATATGTATTTAAATTGTATGGTTTTTTATTACAGTTGTCACGCGAGATGTGGGTTGAGATATCTCCCGTGATGGATGCTGCACAGGGTAGTAGGGAGGAGTGGATGGCTAGCGCCAACGAGTACTACGACTTATGTCATGGAGTTGGGAACATGTGGCCCGAGTTTAGGAGGAAGTCGGATTTTCTACCACCTCCACAGTAGTTGTATGATTATTATGTCATATGTATGAGTGTTATTTGTTGTTTTTAGACGAGTTGACTTATGTGGTGTTCAGTTGCTTATTTGTTGTTTTGGGACTATGACTTATGTTATTTGTGTAATCTGATAATGACTTATGTGGTTTATGTTGTACTTTGGATGTTTTTATTATATCATGCTTCCATGTGACGTAAACAAACTTCATTACAATTTATTTAAATTGAAGACGTTCATTACAATTTATTTAAATTGAAGACGTTCATTACAATTTATTTAAACTGAAGACGAGTACAAGTTTATTTCTTTGGACCCCTCTTTTTGCGTGATGGAAAGTTACTCGCCGCACCCCCAAGATCGAACCACATTTGAAAAAACGGCGCGAAATATGTCTCCCATCCACCCACGCTTTCTTGGTGACCGTTTGGCCACATGGCATGTGGAGGGGGCATCGGTATCTTGTCCGCCGGGAAAGAGAGGTTGATCCAATGATTCTGGACGAAATGCACAACAATGACTCCTCTAGGGTGGGCTTCCCCATGTATGTTGTCCACTGGCAGAATGGTGCATGGGTACGATTGTGGAGTTGGGTAGAGGTAAGTGCTGTACATGACAACCGCCAAATTAAATAGTGTGGCAAATACGAATAGATCCACACCCATCATCCAATGATGTTCAGTCGTTGGTGCTGTAGTAGTGATGTCAATGCGTCTGATTGCATCATTGATGCCGGGACCGTAGATGGGTGCGTATCGCCAATCGTGCTCACGCATTTCTTCAGCAAGTCGTGCCCTCACCCCTGTGAACCCTTCTTGACTACCATATAGTGCAAAACTAAGTGCACGAAACCCACAATGACCGTCTGGCGCCGGGTCGTGGATGGCAATGACAAGCGGCCGAATGAAGACAGGAAGGTGTTCCATGTGTGGGTAATCAGAATGGGTGCTGCTGGCTCCAGGGATATCAGTGAAGGAAATAGGTAATCAGCACAAATGCGATGTAAAATATTAATATAAATAACTACACTTATGAAAAAATTAAATTGTACCTGTGTCAGGACAGTTGTATCTGTTGTTATCTTCTGGGTCATCACACTCCTCCGCTGCATGGTCGTCTGACGGATACTCGTCTGTCTGAGTCCCCGTGGACTTGGTACTCGTCGACTTTGTAGACCCCGACGTTGTGCTTCCCGACTTCTTTTTCATGCTTTTCTTATTGCCTCGCAGTATCTTTTCCCACCACCCTTTCATTCTTCCAGTTGATTTTTTGGCTGGGCGCCCCTTTCTAAATTCTTTCACTTCTGGCTCGTGAATGTTGTCCTCCGCCGGGTGGAGACCGCGAAACACGTTCTTTGCTGCTTTTTTAGTTGCCTCTGGTCCTCTGCGTACAGCCTCATCAACCAACTCCCGAAGGTGAGATCTAGCCTCCTCCTCCTGGGGAACGTACTCCTGAGCATTGGGTGGATGCTCATATGACAGTGTCCGCCAATATATATGAATATCACCGGGATATATCTCTATGTCTCGCGCTCTGCCATCCATAACTTGACATCCACACCTCAAGCCGTGTGTCACAGAGAAATGACATGCACATCGGGAGTTCTCATTTTTTTCCAAGCGGGCACCCAATTCTTCTTCAGCCTCCTTCATTAATATAATTGCCTGCATGCTGACCTTCCTTCTCAAGAATGTGAATGGTGTACCACCGGATGATGAAAGGGTTTTCTGTCTAGAGTTTTCCAACATCATCCTAACCTCCCCGAGTTGGTTAGTAATGTAGCGGTGGTTTCCTTTCCATACAGTGTCCATAGATCCCCGCGAGTTGTGGAGGAAAGTCTTCAAAGCGGAATGTGACGACTCAACCCTGTTTGTGCTCGTATTTCCTAGATGAAACACATTTTTTGTATGACAAACAGCCCACTTTTCTCGATGTTGCCACCACACTCCCTGTATGTATTGCAACAGACGTGGTTCTTGATTGCCCCATCTTGTCCTAAAGCGGCCAAACGTGGCCAACATACCTTGCTCTGACCAAGAATAAAGCATAGGACACCAATATTGGTCGTACGCCTCGTTGACCAAATCCATCCTGTTCTTCCCAAATATTTCCAAGCACTTCTTCTGCACATTGGTGTTGATGTGCCAAACACATAGCAAATGCGGGGTGCGGGGGAAGACCACAGGAACCGTAGCAAGTAGTCCACCTTCGTAGTCGGTGACGATGACAGAGGGCACGCGAGGATGGAGCAATTGTTGTATGCACTACAACAGCCACAAATACGACTCTTTTGTCTCATCCTTCATGAGAGCACAACAGATGTTGAAATTCTTCCCAACTGGAGTTGGACCTACGACCTCCACCCACGGCCATTTATATGCATTGGTCTTATACGTTGAGTCGATCAGAATCACGTACGGCCAAGCCTTCAACATCTGGATGGAAGTTGGATGGGCAAAGAAAAGATGTGTCAGCACGTCGTCATCGTCCTTCATAACCTCTGTATGATAATTCTCACGTTCAGCTTGTAGCAACGCATACTGCACTGCATTCATCTCGCCCATCTCTTCTTTCCTAGACTTGGACCCGAGGTTATACATCTGCCTTTGGGTGTGATGCCCTTTGTCACCCTTCTGCTTGTTTATTGTCTGCTTCTGTTGCGACGGAGGTACCCCAGCATCTCTCATCTGCCTAAGAGATTCTTTATCCTCCTGACTCAATTTATTCATTTGACTGTGGCCCTCGGGATAAAGCATTTTCTCATGACTGTGATACCCTCGCCTTAAACCGGTTCCTTGCTCCGCGACTCCTTGTATCTCCCAGAATGTAGGTCCATCAAGAGCATCTGGATTAACCAGTAGTTCTTTGATTTTAATCTTGAACATGCATCCCGCTCCTTTTGAACTTGTATTGCCACGACTCTCTTTGGAAGGATCCGGCTTGTATGACTTCCTCTCCCTACTGCATCTGTCGCAATACATATAACAGATACCCAATGATCTTTCGTTGCCCAACTCACGTGGCTTCATCGATCCCTTAGTTAGAAAGAAACCAAGAGACATCGCGATGTTTTTGGTCACTGTTACAGCATCTTCGAAATTGGCATATCGGACGCCATTGAGAAAATGGTCTGTGTAATCACCAATTAGTTCAACATTGTCAGCCATGTCCACCTGCAATTATGATTTTGACTCTCGTTAGAAATGTACAAATTATATGATTCTACAAAATTAAACTAAATGCAATAATTTAATTAAGTCTAAAAAATACAGATAATTTAAATATAAATTATTAAACCAAATTAGCTCTACGATTTAAATCTAAACACAATAAAACTAATTTGCGCTACAACAAAACACAATCACTTAATTAAACTAATTGTGCTTTAATTGACTCTACAAAATTAAACTAAATGCAATAATTTAATTAACTCTAAAAAATAATGATAATTTGATGATAAGAAAATTATTTTAATATAAATTATTAAACATCTTTAGCTCTACGAATTATATCTAAACACAATAAACTAATTAGCGCTACAACAAAACACAATCGCTTAATTAAACTAATTGTGCTTCAATTGACTCTACAAAATTAAACTACATGCAATAATTTAATTAACTCTACAAAATAACGATAATTTGACAGTAAGAAACTAATTAGCGCTACAACAAAATACGATTCGCTTAATTCAAACTACAAAGGAATTTAACTATGTAAAATAGAAATAAAAGCAATAAATTATAAATTATTAGCTCTACAAATAAAATAGAAAAAAATACAACACTGTTATGCAACCGGTCGTCGCTCGCCGGAGGCGGACCCCGTCCGCTCGCCGGCGTCGGACCCCGTCCGCTCGCCGGCTTCGGACGGCGACCGACGACGGCGAGCGGACGCGGTCCGACGACGGCGAGCGGACGGGGTCCGCCTCCGGCTAGCGGACGGGGTCCGACGCCGGCGAGCGGACCGAACAAAAAATTCAGGATCAGCAAGAGGTTTACCTGCTTCGCTGGTCCGACGACGGGGTACGGCTGCCGTTCAGTGCCCGGCGAATTATCCTGACGAGATTGGTCCGGTGGCCGGCGAGTTTGGCTGCCGTCCGGTGGCTGTGGTGTTTGTGGGGGGTTGGTGGTCGGGACTCGGGTAGTGTGTAAGTTGTTTAAAAAACCATTTCAGCGAATAGAATATAAAGAAATATTTGGAGGGCAAAATTGTCCTTTTAGTGTTTTTTATTGCCCGGGCGGCAAATAGTAACGTACGAGGGTGACATGATATGATTCGATGGTCGAAGGCTACCCTTCAATCTTTGTTAGCCCGAATCAACTGCCTCAATAGATTTATTATTTAATGAGGATCGGAATGGGCTCGAGCGTATGTGTCAAGATCCAAAAAAAAAACACCACCCCATGCCGCCAGCTGGGCTTTGTTCGACAGAGGTCCCATTATAAGTTTACTAAGCGATGGATAAAGCCCATATTTTGCTCACAACTCACAAGGGCCAATAGCCCAATACCCAGTAATGTTAAAAATCACAAAAATTTAAAATTGATGCTCTCGTTGAGAGTCGAACTCAAGACCTCCCGCTTACTAAACGGGTGCTCTAACCAACTGAGCTACGAGAGCTGCTTGATTGAAATACCAATGATTTATTTTATAAATAATATAGTTTATCGAGTGATGTGCCTTTGGGTTGCTTGTTCTGCGTTCCGCTTTCTTACTTCCAATTAGTAAGTCAACGTGTGGCCCTCGGAAGGAAGTCCTGAAATGAATATGCACCGCAAATTGTAACGCCAAAAGAAACAAGATTGTTCTAGTCCCCAAACTTACGAGTAAACAATTTTACCCATATCTATTTTACTATCAAACTCAATAAACTTATGAGTTGTAATTAGGATTTAGGAATGAAAATTTTAACTATACTCATTGGTATTTTACTATCCAACCAAATTGGGTTGGGTTTGTAATGCAAATATATGGTGGTTGGGTAGAGTTTGATGAATTTGTAACTGTACTAATTTACTTGGGTTATGTTGGGTTTTTAACAAATAAATTTGGATTTGTACCCATGTTCAAATGCAAATTACAGTTTGGTATCTAAATTTAATATATGTGCATATTTAGTATCTAAATTTATTTCTTTTATATGTAAGTCCTCAAAATATCTATGGAAAATCACATTTTAGTACCTAAACTTTTTTGTCTTACATTTTGATACCTAAACTTTTCAAGTTTACAAATATGTCCAATTTTTGTATGTGTAGTTAAAAACAACCTCAAGTAAATGGATATACATATCCAACCCATACCCATTTAGATTATGGAAGCAATATTCATACCTAACCCAAATCCATACCCTACCCATAATGAGTGGGTCTACTTAGGTTTGGCCAAAATTACCCATAGGTGGGTAGTTGTCATCCCTAGTTGTAACTAGATAGATTACTAATTCCATTAATGTCACAACTCTAGCAACAAGAGTGTCTTGCAAATGGGTATATTGTTTGTAGGGATAGCAAAATATCCTCTCGAATTTGATCTAATTGGGTAGGGTAAAACTCGAACCCGAAATATTTTCAGTGAATACGGGTAAAACCCAAACCTATGTATTGCGAGTAATAGATGGGCATGGTTTTTTCACTATCCACCCCGAACCCGCCGATTATACACTTGCATATGTATTTTGTATAGAAATGATAATTATTTTTTCTCAACATATCTAATGGATATGCATTATCCGCCACCGACCCGACCCATTATCATCCCTAATTGTTTATCAGCGTTTAAAACTTTATGATCCATCTAAAATTAACGACTCTCTGATTGAAAGTGGGTTCATGTGCTGCTGTGTGCATGATGTTCATTTTCAAACACAAATGTTCGTCATTTACTTAGTTAGTGGATTAAGAAGGTAGATTCTGATGAGATATATGTTCAAACATAAATGTTCATCATTCACATCATAGACGTGTTTGTCATCTGTGCTGTATTCTAACGAAAATTAAAACACATTTTTTAAGTAATAAGAAATGATAAATCAGTTCATTTTAATTTTATTGCTTAATTTGTAATAAAATAAAAGATTGTGGACCATTATCATAACTAGTCAGGTCGCCAACGAGGCCCTTTTCTGCAAATACATTTTTTTCAGAAGAAAAAAAAACGAGAAAGAAAGAAAAAGGCAAGTTATCTGGCTGAAATTGAAGGGGAGAGCCAAACCGAACAGTACTGTGAGGTGAGCCAGTGGGAAAGCCGAGCTGCGGAGTTGGTGGAGAAGAAAGAACGAACGCACGAAACTTCTCTCTCTCCTCCATTTCCCGGTTCGTTCCTCACTCTCTCTCTAGGGTTTTGCTTTCCCACCAAATCCTCGATCAAATTCCGACGAACCCACCTGCCAATTCTCCGCAATTTCGCTTCTTTCCTCTGTCCGCCGATCAAACGGAGATCAGCTTCCATCTGGGCTTCGATCGAGGGAAGGGACGGCAATCGGACGAGAAGAACCCGAGTTTCTAACTAGTTTCCGAAATGGCTTCCGACACATGGGGCTCCCGATTCTCCACTACTCGCCGCTACCAATCTCGACCTGGTCAGTTGGAGAATATCTACGCTTTTGATTGTTTTTTTTTCCCCTTCCCATACCGGGAAATGGGTTCATAGCTGATTTTGCGAGGTGGGTGTTGTGACTGTAGATCCATTTGAGGAAGGGGAAATGGAAGATGATTCCAAAGCTGAGTTCTTGTGCCCGTTTTGCGCCGAGGATTTCGATATTTTGGGGCTGTGTTGTCATATGGACGAGGAGCATCCCGTCGAGACCAAAAATGGGGTATCTATCTCCATTACTTCGCATCATTATCCCCTTCTCTCTCGTTTTAGTTTGTCACTGACTGTGAAAAATGTTTTACAACTTCCTCGTTTTGTGGACTAGCTTGTTAATGTAGTCCTAATGCTTTTAGGATTGGGATTTCCTTCTCATTTCCTCAGTTGATACATTTTGGCTGCCATGGTTCCTTCGTTACTGTCTTTAGTTGCAGTCGAATGCTAGGAAAAAGTGTTTGAATGGTGTTCCTTGGGGTGGCGCGATCGCGTTTCGTTCTGATTCTGAATGGATAAGTTGTCTCGTTGGCACTCACTTCTGATTTTGTTGCTTATGTATTCAAAGAGATAACCATGTGCATGCAAGGATCCTCTGTTTCGTGTTACCCTTTGTTGTGAGGCCGGTTTGTCGTTGAATTCTTCTTACTGATTCTTTGCTGCTTCTGTTGTTCCAATTGTTGTGCTTCAGGTGTGCCCTGTCTGTGCTAAACGAGTGGGAATGGATATAATCGGCCACATCACTACACAGCATCAGAACTTCTTTAAGATATCCTTTGCTTGTTCAAAGTGGTTCTCCTTGTGCTTTTAAAGTGGTCAGCTACTGATACACATAGGATAAACGTTATGCATTTTCATCATGAAATTTGGAGCATCTCCATCTCTAGCTAATCTTTCCATTTTAGTTTTACTCTAAGATGGGCGATTGTAAAATTCATAATAATACCTCAACAACCTACGAATTTACCTTTACTCTATCTGCATTCTTGTTTGTTCACGTACATGGGATTCCTTGACTTTAGCCTCACGTGCAGCGCAAACGAAGGTTGCGTAAAGGTGGATCCAACTCGCCATTCGCGATATTGAGGAAAGAACTCCGCGATGGAAGCTTTCAGTCGCTGCTTGGTGGATCTTCGTACTTCGTCTCGAGCACAGAGCCTGACCCACTGCTCTCATCCTTCATGTTTAGTCCTGCTGGGCTCAATGAGCCGAAGTCCATTCCCCCTACTGCTGCTACAGATGTTGCAACGAGTCCAGCAATGGTTAATACGATCGAGGAATCTCTAGAAAGGTATAACTCCTTGGCTCTTCATTCTATTAACTCTCATCTTGTTTCGATACTCCATTCGTTGTGCCTCCTGTTGATCCAACGGCCTACTTCTCGGCCATAATACACGTCTAACTAGTACCTTTAAAATCTAACTCAACGTTATTATGTCCCCTTTGAATACGGACCCTTCTCTCATGGTGATTTCATTTGGACATTGACAGGGAGGTCGAGCCATCATCAAAAGCGGTATCAGACAAGGACCAAGAGGAGAGGTCTCGTCGATGTGAGTTCGTTCGAGGATTGGTGCTCTCCACCATCCTAGATGAGTTATGACTGAGTTACCTGGGTGTTGTTAAAATGGAAAGATGTACTCTGTCAAGTCTTTGTAGTATATATATAATGAATGGCGCAATGAGATGGGGAGAGGGGAAAATGGCCAAAAGTGTCCATTTCATGCTTACCTAGTGTACCAATGACACAGTAATCATCAATCCAGATATGTAATATAATATATATCTACGTTTATGTCTTCGGTGCACTCACTTTTTTGGGTGCATTCAATGCACCCGCCTCATAATCGTCATTCTGAGCAGGCGGTTCATGTGAAAACGATGTCAATCATCCCTTGTAGTATGATGAACAAGAACCACGTGAATTTGTACAAAAATTATTCAAGATTCACTTTAATTTGAATAATTCAGGGTTTAGGAATTTAGGGTTAGGGTTAGGGTTTATAATTTGGGATTTTGGGTCTAGATTCAAAATTGAATGTTAATAGGTTAGGGTAATGGGTTGATTAGTTGTGATTCAGTGTTATATCATCATATGAGACTAATGTTATCCATTAAATTTCAAAATTTGATGTGTTATGACCACTTTTAGAGGTGGGTGCACTGAATGCACCCAAAAAAGTGAGTGCATCGAAGTAGCCACCATATATCTACATATAAATATATTATGATTATATAAATCTTAATATTTTGCAATGTGGGGCAGAGCCAAGATTTGCACCAATGTGAACCAGGAGATATCAAAACAAGCAACAGTTGTGGATAAATTAAACAATCTTGATCTTGACAATGTCATAAGAACATGTCTGAATCACATTATTAAACATCATTGAAAGAGCCAAAGGGCTATACAACCTGAAGGTACAATGTTGTGGATATTAGCAAGACAAGGTGATTCTAGTATTCTACAATAGCTTGAAGGGCCTTTGCGATATTAGCAAGACAAGGTTGAGAATCATCCACTTTCAGAAATTCGCTGTGCAGAATCTATCAGCAACAATCCATATCTAGCATCCACAGAAGTAATCTTAAACACAAGTTCTTAATAAGAGAAGAAAGAACACCATGAAATAACTAAATCAAACTAGTTTCCAATACATTAAGATGGGTGGTGCTCCACTATTAAACCCCCCATCCATCCAAACAACTACACCATACATAATGTACCGTTCATTCATCTCTGAGTGTAGTTCTAAGTAATAAACAACTGTATATACACAATTCCATCATATCTTCTTCTTCATCATCATCATCTGCTAAAAACCTTATTTAATGTAAGAAACAGGAGAAGTCTGTAGGTTTCCCAAATATATAGTAGACTGCCCACAGGGTAGACCACAAACTTATCAATCCAGGGGGAAAGCAGCACCTCATGTATCATCTCCAAATATGAGAGATTCCCTGTGTACAAAGCTATAAACTACACATGGTATTTATGGCCCCTTTTTATTCCAAAGGCAGACACTTTTTCATCACCCATATGAGTTTTTCAAGCTTCAGAAGAAGAAATCCTGGAGATAAACACCTTGGAAATATATAGTTTTTCTTCCTCCCTCAAACAAGAAGTGACAACATTAATATTGGAGCCAAAAGCATAGAGCAATGTGCGATCGAAATGGGTCTCTCTTCCAGGGTATTAAAAAGGTGCCACACAATTACCTTTTCCAAACTTCCAGGTATCTTAAAATGGTCCAACCCAGACAGATACCTCTATCACCGCCAGACAGATACCTCTATCACCGCCAGCTAGAGCTGTGGGAAACAAAGAACATGTAGTCCGGATGATGCACTTGAAGAAGCCGTAGCCAGGTTTCAGCAGCACGCTGAAGTGAGTTCACTTTCGGGTCGTAATCTCCATTTGGGTTCCAGAATGAAACCTTCAACTTATAAGAAGCGAGACCAAAGCTATATAGAGATAGCTTGGAAATGTCGGCAGATTGAGCATCCATCCGGGTGCCGTTAATTGGCAGTCCATCTGTGTTTCGACCTGGGACAAGGCGAAAAAGAGAAAGCTAGGTCACGATTGATCCAGACATATACTATTTGGTTTGATTTAATAATGGACTGGGCGAGCAATGAATTGATCAGCATTGGAACAAATCAAGACCCAATCAAGGTATAATTTGGATTCAGTTTTGATTCTCGAACTCAACAAGTACACTTTGTTTCAACTCCATTGTAACCCCTCACAAACAGAAATAACTGAACTAAACATGGGCAGGCCACAGATACCGATCCTCAAATTTTCATCCTCTTTGCATATTGTTCCCCAGAAAAATAACTGAATATGAACCTGTTAATTAGCACATGCACCAGAGGAAATAGAAGTTACCTTGAAAGGCGGAAGGTGTTGATAGAGAATGGAATGTCAAAAAGCAGGCATCCAGATTCTGCAACGTTGGACCAGTAGGTATCCTGTATATAGGGTACCAGGCCACAGACATCCAACTGGAGGGAGAGAGATCACAGCTTTTGCACGTTTTGAGTTCTGGGAACTGAGAAGCAAGGACTGTAATCTGTATGCCACAAAGTTTCAAATGTTAAGAGACATGATGTATGAAAAAAGTATATTACCACAAGCTTGGTGACAAGAATATTACCTGGTCTGCCAATGGCTGGCGATGGAAAGGTGATTCATGCTCCATATACTCAAAGATGAGTTGACCAGGGTGATTAGAAACCTCACTTTCATCACTAGATGATGCCCTAGACGGCTTACTTCTCAAGGGAAGTCCATTTAGGTTTGGCACATTAGAATCAAAGCCATTTTGCTGGTTCCGTGGCCCCGATGCACCATGTTTTACTCCTCCATAATCACTGCTACTGTCACTACTTGTTTCCCGGGAAGATTCTGTATCACTATCCTCACCGTGCCTGCAAAATGATGGAACACACCGACACATCATGAATACTTGCTGACTGGCAATTGGATTTAAAACTCAATAAGAAGCAAGACAACAGGTTGTTCAAGCTGTAAAATACAAGATATATTACAATAATCCAACTGAGGAGCTAACAAAAATAAATCCAAACAGATTAAATTAAAAATTTCTTGCCATAAAGCTGGTTTAATGACTGCTGTGGCAGGCATTTCAATGCAATACTCGTTAAACTGTTACAACTTAATTCCTAGATATGTAATCTTGAAATGTAAGGCATTGCATTGCATGTGGCAGATTTCATGCCTGACAAAGTCTGAGCAAACTAAAAAGGCACAAACGATTGCCTTGAAAGAAGGCATTCAACAGAATCTACAGAACTGTTACAAGAATCTAGCTATCCTATCTAGTGTAATAAGCAATCGAACCATGCAGATTGACATTGAACTGACACCCATAACACAGCAGCAAATTGCTGTTCCAACTAGAACAAGAACCAGGATAAGAAACCAGCCGCCAAACACCCGAAAAAACCAGAAGACAGCAAAAGGAGAGAACTCTCGCATTCAAAGCAGCACAAACAATAATAACCAGTCAAATATCACCAAGAAGCCATTAGGCATATTGAACAAACGCAAAATTTAAGATTAAAAAAACAGCCAGAAAAGTAGTAATCACCTTCGCCTTGTGGATTGTTTTGACGAATCTTTGTACAGCTGAATGCCGGAGAGGTAAGGGACATAATACTGGATGACAGTTTCACTGCCATTCAAAAGGAGGGGAACTCCAACACCATATGCACTCCACTCCTTCAAAGACTCCCACAAATCACCCAAAACAAAGTAGGGCTGTTGGTGATGCTCCTCACCTCTTCTCCATCCTTTAACGCTAGTCTACAAAACCAGAACACTTGAATCTATCAGGCGCTTTAAGTAGTGAAGCACAGAAAGACCAACTCGCCATTTGAGTTCATTAAGAGTCTGTGGTATACCCATGGTGCTTAATCTGTTATTCATTACTCAACCCAGTACTGCTCAATTGACCATGAGCTCAGTACGTAAAACCACGAGTAATCAAACAGCACAGAAGACTTTCGAAGTAAAACCCTTTAGAAACTCGACCCCACAGAAATGAAATGCCCAAAGACCAGATTAGATCCAGAAGCAAAGACCTTTCCATTTACAGTAAGTTAAAGAGCACTGCAAAGAGTGAAGAAGGACGAAAAGCAAACACATCCAGGAAACGAATCCATGATAGTCCCCAACCAGAAACTAGGGGCTACCTTAGGGAGCATTTGCGCAGCAACCACGGGAGTGGTGAACTCCAAGAACCGATCCAAATTGGTGTGTACACCATCCGTACTCGGTCTCCCAGGGACCGACGAATTTGAGGCTGTGGAGGAAGTAGAAGACGAACGGCATTGATCGGCGTCTACCCTCTTCTCGATCTCATGCGGAGTACCATTCATCGGTGGATTCGCCGCCTTCTGCTGCTGTTGCTGTTGATGCTGCCTTTGCTGTTGCTGTTGCTGTTGTTGCTGCTGAATACTCTGCTGATGCCTCCTTCTCTGCTGCTGCTGCTGAAGCTGCTCATGCGGCTTGCGCATGGCTGGGGAGACATAGAATCGGCCGTCCCCGCGGGCTCTGGCCGTCGTAACTCCACCGGAACCCGACATTTGCTAAAGGAGAAGAAAACGAAGTCGCGAAGCAGCAAAAACACGAGATGACGGCACAGAACCGGCGCCAAGAGCCTCTATCCGTCGGCCAATTCAGCGATTAAAACAAACACAAATCGGCGATGGAAAACCCCAAAAGAGACAAGAGCAAGAAGAAGAGCAGTATATGCGTTTGAGAAGTCCGGTGAAGTACTGGGTGGCCGAGAATCGAGACTTTCAACTCGGGACTCGGCGTTCAAGAAGAGGTTTAGGAAGGAAACGAACTCAGGCGCTCGGGGGTCGTTGACGACGGCGGCGGTCGTCGGGGGATATGGGTCCAGAAGAGATGCGGCAGTTCGAGCGAAGAATCGACGGACGTCAATCTCTTCCTCTTCGTCTTCCTTGTTTCTTCGGTTCGGCGAATCGCTGTCTTCGATTTCGCGTCTGAGTAGTAACAATTGAATGATTAGGGGGATGAATTTGGGGGAATTTCTAGGGTTGTTGGTGTTGCTTTGGTTAGATTGATTTTTTTTTTCTTTATCGTGAGGTTTTTTTGTTTGCCTTGCGCTTGTGTGCGTGCGTATTTCTTTATTATTTTATATTTTTTGGGGGGATTTTTTATGGGTTGGGCCTTGTCCGGACCATTATTGGGCCCAAAGTTTCTTTCGCAAAGAGGGGGAATATCTGAATATACCGTGTTGATGTCATGATGATGCGGTACATATGAGATTTTTCTGGTACTTAAGGAGTCATTTTAAAACTTAGCAAATTCCTACAATATGTTACAAGTTATTGTAATTTAATGTATTGACCTGCTATAACAGGTTTCACAAGTCGCATTACATAAAAGAGAAATTTTACAATGCTATATAGTATTGGTGCTATAGGGTTTTGCCTTTATGGTACAACTTAAAATTGTCCATTTACGTTATGGTACAACTTCAGATTGTACCTATACTTTTTGTACAAATTCTTTTATGGTACAACTTGAACTTGTACCTTTATGTGATGGTACAACTTCAAGTTGTAAAGTTGTACCATAACATAATGATACAAATTATTTTATGGTACAACCAAAACTTATACATTTAATGTTATGGTACAACTTTAAGTTGTACATTAAAGCACCAATACTATATAGCATAGTAGAAGTGCTCTACATAAAATACAATAGGCATTACGTAATGGTTACGTAATGTGTGTTTATCTTACGTACGTAATAGTTGGAAAATGTCATTACGAAAACCTTAAGTAATAGACACTCATTTTACGTAATGAATATTAATCTTTCGTTACGTAATCTGTTAAATCATTACGGGGGACTTACATAAAGTTTCTAATTTAACTGTTACGTAAGAAATAACTATCGTTACATAAACTTTACATAATATATGCATACTTTACATAACAATTGTAAAGTGGCATTATGGAAGCCTTACGTAATGGATGGTCTTTTTTTACGTAATGAATATTAATCAAGTTACGTAATATGGCAAGTCATTACGGAAGTCTTACGTAACACTTCTAATTTAACTGTTACGTAACACTTTTGCGTAATGAATATTAACCTAGCGTTACGTAAAATGATAAGTCGTTACGGAAACCTTCCGTAATGCTTCTAGTTTAACTGTTACGTAAGACTAACAAGCATTACGTAATTGTTATGTAATAAACATTACTTTTACGTAATGAGACCTATTAAACCTGTTATAGCAGGTCAAAAAGTTCAATTTATAGTAACTTCAAGGCATGGTCGGAGGTCCACTAAAACTTATAGGCAAAATACACCACCATAGCCATAATTTTTCACTTTGTGACAAATATAGCCAGATTTTAAAAAATACACAGATATAGCCATTTTATCTACACAATTAACGGTTCTGTTTAAATTGCTGACTGGACAAACGGTGATTTATGACATGGCCATTTTTCATCTACGTGGAATATGCTAATGTTTTCATTAATTTAAAAAAAATACTTTATTTACCAGAACTCTCAAATTACCCTTTCGGTCCCCAATCCCCATCCCTAAACCCTATCCCCACCTTGCTGATCCAGTACCCTCCCCCGCCTCTCTCGATCTCATCTCCCGACCGCCACTATACCTTCCCTCATCCATCCCCCTCCCTTCCCCACCGCAACTGCATCCTTCAGGTCAAAGCCAAAGCATCATGGATCCATATATCCCTCCTCCCACGTGAGCACGCCGCTGCTCCATTGGTAGCTCCACGCCTCAAAACCAATCTATCCTCCGAAATCAATCGTTGTCGTCGTCCCTCTTGGAGAGCCATTTCCACCACCAGATCAAGATTTCGTTGCCTCCAATGATGCAATGATGTCGTCGGGAACTAGCTCCCCCATCCCCTCCCCGCTCGTGAAGATGAAAGCCCAATCAGAAGAATCCCATGTTACTGTTCGGGCTGCGAATAAACCCAACGCTGTTGCAGGGGAAAAAATCGTCGGATTCTCGACTCCGACTCAAGACCTCGACTCCGGCTTCTCTTCTCGATTCAGACAACCCATCGAAGCTCCAATAATCGACCGGTGAGACAAAAAAATCCGAAGTGCGGATCTAGACGATGAACAGAGAGAGTGCGGAGGATGATGGCCAGAGTTCAATTCCAATCCCTAGAATTTTTTTATCTTTCAGATTTGGGGGAAGATAGAAAGAGCCGGCGGCATCAGTTGGGCTAGAGATAGACTGGAAACTTCAATTTTCCAGAAGAGGTACTGAAAGGAAGAAGTTGATTTGGGGAAAGTCGAAGAGATTATCGTGGCTTGTGTAGCGGTGGCCGGAGGAGACAAACCCTCATTGGCATCGGCTGTAATTGGATTTCTGTGTTTGATTATAAATAAAAGTTACTTATAAATTTATATGAATTTTTTAATTAAAATATGATGTGGCGTTTATGTGGATATGACGTGTCGTCCAGGTGGCATCCACGTCAGCGTAATATTTACGAAACGGATGGAATTATTAACGGCGTTAAATTTTTTGACGTAAATGGCTATATTTGTCAAACTAGATTTCAAAATATGGCTATATTTGTGTATTTTTCAAAATCTGGCTATATTTGTCACAGAGTGGAAAGTTATGGCTATGTAAATGTATTTTGCCAAACTTATATTGTAGACTTTCAATATTCTTATCAAAGAACATTATTTTCATTTAAATGCTATTGATTAGCTATCATATATTCACTTACTAAAACAAACACCATTAGGTCACTAACTATTATCATTTTAAAAGACAGTTATATTTAATTTTTTATGATCAGATGGGGTAAAATGGACGATGAAAGGTTTTGTAGTTTATTTTTTCGTAGATTGACGATAGTTGGACACCATGCAATGATTTCGAGATTCATATGAAGATTGAGGTGTGTAAACATTTCAATACCTTCCAATGGTTGAGTCATAAAAGAAACATAAGGTGTATGAACATCTCATAACTCGTAGTCAAAATTTTATTCACCTACCTCTCATAACGTTCATGCGCTCAGTACTCAAAATCATGCACGTCGAGAACACAAATGTTGACTTGCGAGACTGTAAATTAAACATGCAAATATGAATTTGGCGGAGCAAACCAAAGTCACAACTATCATCGTTAGGAGAGAGAGCATGTGACTATGTGAGCATAAAAAAGAGTGACAGAGTGTATATGTTATACGTTACTTGGTTGTGTATTTGTTGGTTTAGTGTTATATTCTTCATTATGAAAAAAAAAAACTAAATGGATGTGATATATGTTACATCTTCGGAAGATATTACATTGACAGAAACATGTAAGAGAGATATGAATCATAAGAAATAATTCAATTTTAATCAATAACACGCTTTCTGAGATGAAATTGAAGACTTATTATATGAACTCTGATGTTAAACGTGTTGCAGATGAAACAATGTGAATATGAGTAATATTAGGAAGTCACCATATGCAACCAAACCAAAAACCATGTCAAACCAAACCCAAAGAAGCCAATATTGTTAGTAAAAAAATGGTTGGATGTTACACTATTCTTATATTAATAACATTTTTATACAACTAAAATGCTCACATTTGGTTGTAATCATATCTACCTTTTATAAATTTGTTTCACTATCAGTAGTTGCGACCATAAAAGCAAAGGAAGGCATGAAAAAATGCATCGAAAAGCTCTCTCCTCTCTCCTCACTTTTTGCTGGTCGGCGATTGTTTGCCTGCTCACGGCGACCGCCGGGATCATCTCAAAGTCGATTGTTTATATCTTGGATGTAGCGCTAGCAAACCAAGGAATCGACTATAGCTTGCGCCAAAGATGGGATCAAGGGAGTGTCCTGGAGCATTTTGCTACGAGTACAGAGTCGCATACCTTTCACCGGAGAATTCCAGAAACTTCTTCGTGCAAACCCAAGCGCAAAAGGCAGCTGACCGTGGAAATCACCCACAGCGGCAGTCGAGCAGAGAAGAAAGCGAGACGTCAGGGTTGGAGATTTGTTATTCCTTCTTCCGATGAGTTAGATTGGGAGGAGCAGGTTTGCCCAAAGGCTTCTAATAGGGATAACACTAATAGCATAGATATGCGAAATGTCTCTAATTCGACTGAATTCAGATCCCAGACTGGGGCGAGGTCGGTCGGTATGAAAAAATGGAGCTTTAAGCTCCCATCGTCAGATGAACTGGATGGGGAGGACGAAATGGAACTGCTACCAGGCCCTGTCCCTGTTCAAGATTTGGTAGACGATGTAAATGATTGGAAAATAGAATCAGGACTCAGATCCCGCAATGGGGCGAGGCCTGGGGACCTTAGGGATAGTCAAAGTCAAGGGCTCGCTGGGATCGATTTCGGTCCGATGACCCTTTTCCGACCGGCCAATCTTCGGCGATCTCCAGGTCGAAGATGCCCCACTGCGAGTTGGACTCTTCCGGCTCGCTTCGTATCCCGTCCTTTTCGATTTGGGGATAGGCGATCTAACCGCCAAATCTTTTCTAAAATTCAAAACAGAGGTGCGGGATTATTCGCCCCAACTGAATGTAACGGGTGTATCCAGAGTCTCCTAAAAGTGAAAGAACTCTCGCAAGTACCTGTCTCCCAACCATCACAGTGCTATTTAATACGGCCTCCCGACCCATTCTTGTTCATCTACTCTCAGCAAAAGAACAAGTGGAGGGAACGACGTTACAAGGCATCCCGTTCGCGGCAAAGTGTCCTCACTGGTGAGTGGTTGTTGTCACTGTTGGACATTCATTTCCGGGTAGTGTCAGATTCTATCCCCTCCCATGATATCCATTATATACTTTGGAGCTTCCCTTGGTCATTGATGATCACTGTGGGACAACCTCTGATATATGAATCGGATCCTCTGTTTATGCAGGGGAAAGACATGGCTCGTGTTAGCAAAGATCAAGTAGTGGAGTTCTCGTTGGATGAGGTCCAAGCAAACCGAGCTCCCAAATCTCGAATGTTGATCGGCCGTTTATTCTCTGCTGACCGGCTCCCCCTACATGAAATTCGGGATGCGGTCAATCGTCCATGGCAGGGCCAAGGACGTATTATCGTCCGAGAGCTGAAACATGATCTCCTTGAGTTCACCCTCCCGTCGGACGAAGCACGAAACTGGGTGCTGCAGAGAACGCCTTGGATTGTCGTGGACAGAATCCTGCACTTGCGGGCATGGACTCCGGCGGTGTCCCAACGCACATTTGATGATCTGGCTTGTGCTCC